TCCTCTGAAGTGACCTTTGCCATACCCATTAGGGCACAGCTAAAGGCAATGGCCAACTATCCTGTCCTCTTGTTCATGACCTTTGTTAGTTTCACTGTTCTCCTGCTTGACCCAAATTAATCACATCATTAGGGAGAATACTGGGGATACTTGCCAGCGCCTTACAGTCTGACATTGATTCCACCTCAAGAGTCCTGCCAGAGTATATTTTATTTTTACTGAGAACTTCTCAGAATATTCCATTACTACCCTTTTCTACTCCCGTGTGGCTCGAAGGTTGGGGGCAGGATAGTACTGGGAATGCCATAAAGGAAATGTCTGAGGCAGTGTGAATGTTGTATATCATCATCTATGTTTTGGCCACATTGGGTATATATATGTGAAAGATCATTGAGCTGTGCACTTAAAATCTACACGTTATTGTATGTTTTTAACTCAGTAAAGATGCTAATACAAGGAGGGGAGGACACAAAAAACCCAGAATTATTTATCAAAAATTGTGTATTTACTCTTGCATGTTTAAACTTCAGTTACCCTCAAAGTACTCTCCTATCTGGATGCCTTTCCACTGCTCAAATCAGTTTTTAAACTCATTAATTTTGATGCCTTTTAATGCTTCAGCCATTTTTTATTTTACCTTTCCACCTCAGCAAAACATTTCCCTTTGAGAACTTTTTTCATCTAGAGAAACCAAAAGAAAAAAAAAAGCCACTCAGGGTGAGATTGGTGCATAGAAAAGGTGAAGCATGGGTGTCATGCTGTTTTTGATTTTAAAAAATTGCTGAACACTCAGTGCAGGCATGTACACTCATAAAACTCCCATCATAAAATGGGCAAACACGTTGAAAGAATCTTAAAAAAAAAACCCAAAAAACCAAAAAAACACTGAAGCCGAGCGCAGCCTCTCACAATGCTAGTGGATAAACTTCAGGGCTGAGGACAGCTACAACTCCACCTGCTGTGGATGGCTGGGTTAATGCCTGTATCAACAGTACTGTCACACAGAAGAAGGGCTCCGCAGGAATCACTGCTGACATATGCGTAAACTATGGGGATGGTCTCTCCACCCCAGGTGGCAGCAGGACAAAGAGAAGCAGCACATTCCAGGTAGGACAAGGGGCACTACTCCTGACCCCTTGGAAAAGAATCTAAGAGCATAAAGTGGGCAAGGAGCCAGAGGATGAACACTGGGCAGCTGTGACCTGGTGCTTGTGAGCCAGCTCACCCATACCCACAGACCTGAGCTTGAGGTCAGGGGGCTTTTCCCAGAGGCTACAGAGAAGCAGAAGTGGCAGGGAGAGTTAGAAGTGACGTTATCTGGGGTGGAAGGGGTTAGTGAAGGGAACAAGATATTTCCCCCTAAAGGGGAGTTTGTCAGTGGTGTGCTTTCTTTAAAAAAGGTGGCCAGGAAATTTGACCTCTGTCTTGCATCTTCTCTCTCTGGTAAATGACTCATGGGCAAGGGTGGAATTTTTGCCGGAATCTCAAAGATTTATTGGAGGAGAGTTTTGTGTGGATCTTAGCTGGGATTTAGACATTACTTAAAGATTTCTTGGTAATTTTTCAAGTGTGTATTTGCAGAAGTACTAAGAACTCTGTTAGGAAAGATCTTATGCTCAGGAAAGAGGGGGCTAGGACGCAGTCCTAACCCAGTAACAAACACAGGGGGGTTGGGGGAAGAAACAATTCCAACCTCATTGTAATGTCTTGTGCTCAAATTTGTCTCCAGTCCAGTTTGCAGTGAATTTATGTTACAGGCCCCAGGATGTTGAGTGGGGACTGTGAGAAAAACAACAGAAGCCGCAGAAGAGAAAAGCTTGTTTTTCACTAGTTTCCCTCAGAAATGAGGGCATATGTTGCAGGACATACATGAACAACTGAGACCTCAAAGGGTGGGGGGAGGCTCATGATCTCTATTTCTGTATTGGGTCTAGGGGGCTAATGCTTCTCCGCTCTTGGAGGCTCCCCAAATCAGTGGCAGAGATGGCAGTGACTGCCCAAAAGGCAATGCAGGGATGGAGATGGCTCAGCAGAGGGCTCTGGGGGCTGTGGGTTCCTGGGTACCTTTTCCCAGCTCTCAGAGGCAGCACTGTGAATGTCAGCCTATCAATGACAGGGGCTGCCCTAGAGAGGAAGAAAAGAAAATAGAAGATTTTCTTGTTTGGAAGATCACTGGGCTAATTTTTAGCCACTTCAGGCACTCCCAGAGAGCCTCAAACATTATTATGATGAACTTTTTTTTTTTTTTTGCGCAACTTTCTTTCTTTATTTTTTATGTTAAAGATGTGGGGTACAATTTAGGGTTAGGTATACAAATGGTCATTGTACAGGTAAAGTTTGGGCTTCGCTTTGGTCCCCGCTTTACCTGGTTTGAGATCAGGTATGCTTATTGATGAAGTGAGCCCCCTCCTCCAGGCAGTTTCCCACTGCTGTCAATCCCTTTCTTACAGTGTTATGATTGTTCAGGGTCCGCTTATGAGTGAGAACATGTGGTATATAGTTATCTGTTTCTGTAATAGATCACTAAGTATTATAGACTCTAAATCCATCCAAGTTGCTGCAAAGTTCATGATTTTGTCCTTCTCTATGGCTGCTTAATATTCCATCATGCAAACGTACGACATATTTAAAAATCCAGACTGGTTTCGATGGGCAGCATGATTGATTCCATGTTTTTACTACATAATGAACTTAACAAGAAGCTTAGGTTCTTCAATCACAGGCGAAAGACACAGTTTGCTACTAGTGTTAATGTGATTCTATTTTAAGCAGATGGCTAGTGGCCTTGATGAACATGGAATATGTTTGGGTTGGGGTGCTGGTTTGGTATTCAAATATGGTAAATCTTATTGAATGCTAAATGAATAAACTCTACGGATAAATGTTAACAATGGTCATCAGTAGGGTGGTGACATCTTGAATTATTATTATTATTATTATTTTGCCTTCTCCACTGCAACTCTCAAAAAGACCCTAATCTTGGTGCATACAAGGAGGATTCTTTATAAGGACCAAAATCTACCTTGGCAAGTACTCAAAGGTCTAGAGAGCTGTGCTGGCTCCTTCCCAGGACAGAGCTATCACAGCCCAGTCAATGACAGCCAAGTGTGACAATGCATGTCAAGAGGGCAGCAAGCCTTGAGCTGAGAGTTCTAGAAGGGAACCAGTCCCAGCTGGCAGAACAAATGTCTGTAGGAATGATAAAAATGGAGACAAGCATGGTGGGTGGGTTGGAACTTTGAACCCTCTTGGAAGTAACAGGGATATTATAATAATTGGGTGGAGTCTGGAGGTGATGGGAAACTCAAGAGCAGCTGAAGCCCAGATGCCCAGGAGGGGGACACTGGCATCAGGATGGTCAGTAGACAGCAGGTACCCCCCATCACCAATGGGGTGAAGAGACAGCAAGCTCACCACCATCACAGCGGGATCAAGAGTAGAGATCCAACAACTGGAACCAGTACTTAGACAAGACAGGGACTGGTTCCTGGAGCTGGGGTCAATGGTGGAGGCTGGGTATCAGGGACAAAGCAAATGTAGGTTGGAGATGGACTGACAACCATGGTGATTTGACTTTGGAGACTCACTGAGTTAAGCCTTGAGGGCCAGACCTGCCTCATGGTCCTCTAGAGCCTAAGGCTGATCAAGCCTTGGTATGTTGCATCGAATACTTGCACCCAGAATGTGGCTGTGTACATATCTCCATATGCCTTACCCTCAGCAGCCCACATGGGACCAAATCCGTAATTTCAGAGCCTCTGGCCTGCCCATCCTGGCTCAGTGTACATCCAGGTAGAAGTTCATCTAGGACTTTTCATTCTGGCTGCATTCCTGACTCAGTTGTACCTTTATTTTTTAGAGGTCTGCTGCTCCACACATGTGTGCTACCCATTACTCCCCATCCAGTCCTGCCCTATTTCATTTATTCATTTATTTATTTGAGTTGGGGACCTCACTCTGTTGCCTAGGTTGCTGGAGTGCAGTGGCTCACGGCTCACCACAGCCCTGACTTCCTGGGCTTAGGCGATTCTTCTGCCTTAGCTTCCTAAATAGCTGAGACTACAGTCATGCACCAGGCTAATTTTTGTATGGTTTGTAAAGACAAGATGTCGCTATGTTGTCTACGTTGGTGTCGAACTCCTGGGCTCAAGCAATCCTCCCACCTTGACCTCCCAAAGTGCTGGTAGTACAGGGTTGAGCCACTGAACCTGGCTTCCACCCTAAGTGCTCCAAACTCCAACACTACCTACTATGAACATCAGTGTCTGTATCTCTAGCACTCCTTTCCCATTTATTCTTGTTCCTGAGGAAAGGGGAGCCAGGGGATGCTCTCTGTAGTATGGGTGGGCCTGGATCAGTCGCTCCCAGCTATTGGGACAGTTAAAGAACAAGTACTGAGAATCAGGTCCCTTATTAATTTGCTGTGGAAAGAATCCTTAGGCGTTTATCACTAAGGGACAGTTCCAAAGGAGGTCCACTTGGATTTCTCCTAGGGGTTTTCCTGGTACACCCTGGGCTATCACAGGAATTAGGCTTCCTTGGAATCTCAGCACCAATTCTCAGGAGTCAGAGATGTGGTCTCGGACCTGACTGTTAAGTCTGTGCTGTGGCTAGTGTCTGTTTATTTTTGATTAATCGATCTTTTTGTCAGAATTCTCAAGAGATACCCCAGAGAGAAGCCCTTAGAAATGAGGCTTCCTGGGAGAGGTGTCTCCTCCATTGCACTGTGCTGGTGTGTGAGGTCCAGGGCTGCATAGGGCAGAGAATGCCAAGGAAGGATAATGCAGGCTGGGAGGGCTTGTCTGCTAGACCGACGAGGCAAGAAACTTTATTGTTCTAACCTGGAGGGAGAAAGTGTACCCATTTTTCCAGATTACAGAACTGGTATTGGGTTGAGAGGCAGAAGGTAGAGGACTGAAGGGCACAGCTTCTCCAGAGGTAGAGGGAGGGCTGTGCCCCAGTCCAGGTGAGTCCACACTCCATGTGGACGACCTGGAGGTTCAGAGCCCAGGGATCTCACCACAGATGGAGAGTCCCATAAAGAACAGAAGTTGAATTTCAAAACAGGATTCTGGGTCAATCGCCTGGGCAGTACCTTTAAAAAGAAAGAGAAGTATTTTACAACAAAGGATCACTTTAAAACCCCAAAGTAGAATGACTATGTGATGAGTTGCAACTAAATCAGAAGTGATGCTCAGGACAGCTCCACCAGCAAGAGACTGTGGGACTAAGCTGGAAGATCCCACTACCCCTCTCCCCTGTAATAATTAGACTCACATTTCCTCTTTCTATTTTTTTTTACTGACCCCTAACCATCCTCCTTAATTCCCAGCTATTCAAGTTTTCCCTGCATTCCTGCTGCATCCTCTTGTTATGAAGAAGACTTGTTTGTTAGGTTAACTTATACTAAGATATAAGTGACTGGTTGCCTAGTGGGAAGAGGCTACTGACTATATCTGGACTAACAGGCAGATCTTGAAGTCTTATCTGGTTTCAAGTTGGTCACCACCGATCCCCTACCATATCCTTAGGAGGGGTGCTAGCTGCTGAGATGTTTCTTTCCTAGTTTGGTATAATGATTACGGTTTTGCCTTCCAACCTCTGGGCAGCTTGAAAAAGAGAAGACTGAGGACCCCAAAGCAATGGGCTTCCGATGGTGGGATGTGGTCCCTATGTTCCTTGTTGGTCAGGAGGTAATAAAACTTTCAGTCAAGAGAAGGTATCCACCAATTGCCAAATCCTACTGATGAAATGACTGACTTTGAACTTGTAACAAAGCTAACTCTGCTTCCCATTCTCAATGAACCCCAGTGTTAGGAAATCATCTCTGCCACCAAAGGGAATACATCCTAGGCCACATTATTTTTATACTTAGTAACAAAGAAACGGAATAAACCTGACCACTGTCATTAACATTTGCCAATGACCTAAAATTCATACTGCGCCTTTTGACTCACTGTGGTCTTGGGTTTCTAATTAAGTTGCTAACATACCTTCTTTTTGCTGCTGTGCAAAGTAGGTAGGGAACTCTCTGCATACGTTCTTGATGGCCGTTCTATACTGAGCTAAGCTCTTAACTCGGTTGGGTAAAACAGTGTAGGTCAATCCATGGGTGGATGGGTAATGCTTGAAAGTCTAGAAGAGGTGGTACATCAAAATGGTGAGACAGCATACAGGGGTAAAGCAAGCAGGAAAAGACAAATTCCTGGGACCCTGGCCCACAGGTAAGTGGCAACAATATGTGAGAATGATACAATTGACAAAAATAGCTCTGAACTCAAACTCCTCCTTGAATTTCATTTCTAACAGCAATATTCTATGCAACCACAAGGTGATGACATTACTCCAGAAAGATCTGTATGCTTGTGTATCCAGTCGACTTCCTGTCTGTTGCTTTCACCCTTGTGAAATTCATAACTCATCCAGACTTCAATGCTTTCTCATATCTAATGAGACTATAGAACAGTTTATATTATGTTGCATATATATTATATTTCTACTTGTTAAATCAGATGGGTGGGATACTTTTGACTTTTCTCTTTAAAACAATTGCTAGGTTACTTTATTTTTATGTAAACCTAAGTGTATTATTTTTTCTCCAAGAGTCAGCAAACCTTGTGCAGCAAATCCTGCCACAGACATCAGTGTTGCCCAAATGTGCTGTGCAGGTTACTTAAGCAAATGAAACCAGATTTCAACAACTTATCAAGGACTTCCTGTTGGTTTTTAACTTACTGGACTTGTAATTTAAGAGGCTGAGGGGGAGAGAGCTTTGGCAGTCCTGGACTTATTTTCAACTAAAGATAATATGTGTGTATGTGTTTGGGGGATGGGCAAGAGAAGAGAGATGGTGGGGGACGTGAATACACTAATAATTCACTCTAATGCTTATATTCAATAATTTATATTCACTAACAGCTCAAATTCTTCTGGAATACATCAAAATGAGGTCACTGCATGGAATTTTTGTCGATTCAAGTATGATTTGACTTGAATGGGCCATTGACTGAATCTGAACTTCTTTGCATGATGGTAAGATTTCATGGGCATTAAGAACAAGCAAGAACCAAAGTCCCCCTGTGTGCACAGCATTATACTAGGAGGTTGGATGCAGAGTTGTAAAGCATCAAGTTAGGAGGGACCGCAATGAGCTGGTCTCACTTGCCTGCTTGTCCAGGGCCTTACTAATGTCATCCAAACTTGGGAAGACTGCTTGGTCCATCTTAGCTAGGATGCAGGCCCTCTTGCTAAACAGCTTCACTGCAAAGAGATCCTTAAAACAAGACAGTAGAAACATGTTATTCAATCATTTACAATATTAATGAACATCTAATCTCCATTAGGCCCTGATGCATAGCTTCTTCTGATTGTGATGTAGAGAACTCCAACAGAGTGCTCCCCTGGCTACCACAGAAAGGTCAGAATAAGGACTGGCAACACGTGCAGACTCCTGCTTCTCTGAGAGCTCCATGCACAATCTCTGCTGTGGACAACAGAAGAAACTCTCCCAGGGCATTCTGTGCACTACTAATGGGCTACTAAGAAGGTCATTTAAAGAGTTCCCATTTCTTGTAATTGATCTCTGCTATAGAAGTTATTTTATCTTACTCCAGGTTTTAATGTTAATTTCCAAAGAAGAATGATGTATTTTTATTTTCAGAAATCTAACTGCAACTTGTCCATCCCTTTAAGGAATAAGATCTAACAGAAAGATGAGAGATCGGGAAAGATCAGGTCCCGTTTTGACACTTAGCAGCTATCATGACTGTCAGTGAGCTCCATGATACTCAGTTTCCTCATCTGAAAGGCAGAAATAATCACAGCCCCTCTCCCACAGGGTTGTCATGAGGATGAGAGGATGAGATGACATACTAACTGCTTGTGAGCACATTGTGCAAGTTCCAGCATGTTCTTTAAATATATGAGTTTTCAGGAACCTTGGGTCAGGACTTCTAGACTTAGATTCCTGCCCTGGTCTGCCATCCATGTGACCCTGGGCCTGTCATTTAGCGTCTCTTGACTTGCATTAGAGCAGTGACTCTCCAGCTGTATCTGACTGAGTCCAAATTTCACCTGCATCTCCCCCCTTCAACTGGACTACTGTGGAATATTTTGTTTGAAAAAAAAGTTTCCATGGCATAAAACCGAGTTGGAAATCACTAGACTGTGTGTAGATTGTATGCCCTCTAGCAGGATTCAGGGGATGTCTTATTGAAGAAATCAGGAGTGGGTTGTTAGGTGAAGAGTGAGAGAAGTGATCTGGAAAGGGAGTAAGTAAGACAGGTACAGGTGGGAGCAGAGATTGAGCCTGTGTTTGAGGCATATGTCCTGAGATGTCCACTGTAGCTGGAAAGAATGCCATGGAGATAAGCAGGTGGAGGAAACTGGGTGACAAAAGACCTTCTGGGTCAGAGCGAGAAGTGTGGGCTTTTACTTTACTTAATCCTTCAGAGTCCTGCCAGGCAGGAAAGTCAGTTATGGATGCTGTTTTACAGATGAGAAAACTGAGGCACACAAAGGCTAAGTTGGATATCCCTGTGGTTATAATGCTTTCCTATGGGAGAGCCAGGTCAAGGACACAGGTGGTCCCTTTCAGATTTTTCATCTTTCTGTTAGATCTTATTCCTAAAAGGGATGGACAAGTTACAGTTAGATTTCTGAAAATAAAAATACATCATTCTTCTTCTTTGGAAATTAACATTAAAACCTGGAGTCAAGGTAAAATAACTTCTATAGCAGAGACCAATTACAAGAAATGGGAACTCTTTAAATGACCTTCTTAATTTGGAGGCCTTTGGTGGCTTTGTGAAGTCAGCATCTCATAGGAACACACGGGAATGCAGGATCCCTATAGATCAGATGAAGTTCCTCCTGCCTTCTCCAATTCAAAAAGAAGCCAGTACAACTGCAGGAAATCTGTTTCCTTATCTAAAGAAATGCATTTCTATCAAAGTCCTAAACCTACAGAAGGCAAATGAAGACACTGTTCTATTTTCTCTGGAAAAGCATGAGGCTACATGTTGGACCAGACAAGGCTTCCTTTCACGTTGTAAGGAATGTGTTTCTCACTTACTGTCTTGTAGTCCATGATTCCACTCCATTCACTGAACACATTGCTGTCTTGAATGCTGACCATACCTTGGAAGTCATCAACTTGGATAGTTTGGGTCCCAACAGATCCATCCAGAGAATGGCTGTCACTGATGTTCTGGAGAAAACCAAGCAACCACAAGAAACGTTTAAAGTCCAGAATTACTACATTGCCCATATTTTGCAGGCTTAAAGGGGTACCCACAAGACCTTTGAGAAAGTCATCCTTAATTATCACCTTTTACAATACTTCTGCTAAAGAAAGATTGGATGGGTTGGGTTCTCTCCACCCTCACTCACCATCAGGGCCAGAGATGGTGTTAGGAGGAGGATCACAAGAATGAAAGATGCAACCTGAAATGGAGACAAATATCAATGCATTTTCCCTTCAGAGTCCAGAGCCTCAAGTCCTGCTGGGACTGGAACTTTCCTTCAATTATTGCTCACTTTCTCTGTCTCTCATGCTGCTGGGGCCCAATGTGTATCAGGAGACTATGGTTCATATGGGGTGTGCTGGCTACTCAGAAGGCAAAGCTTTATTGTTCAATCAAGACACCTTTTGTTTCACTCTCCATCTATTGTCAATCACTAGGCTAAATATCAGACAATGTGATGAATCATTTGATCTGTACATGAGGAAGGACCATTGTGGGCCAAACTGTAAGAGAAGTGATAATTCAGGTCCTCAGTCTTCTTTTTCTGCATCTTCCTTGCTCCTTCCGACCACCTGGAACCCCCTACCTTCCCCCTCTGGAAATTGATATCTTCCTGATTTCTTTTCTGCTAGGAAATTTTCCTCATCCTGTCAGAAAATAAAAGACCTGGCACCATTTGTTTGCACCTTATTTTGGAATAGATTGTGCTTAAAGGTGACTAACTTGAAATATTTGCACTTAACTATTTCCTTCTGGTGTGGCCTGCCTTGCCTATTAAGGGAACTTCAGGCATCACAAAGTAAGGTACAAAGAACTGATGGGGGCAGGAGCAGGCGAGGGTAAAATAGTGCAGCAATGAACCTGTCTCCATACCCCATAGTTTATCATCTGTTCTACTGAAGGCTCCATTTATGTACACTCATAGTAAGCTGAAGTGACAGGAACTCCCCTTCTCCCCATCCCACAATATCCCATGCAATGTTCCATATGCAAATGACAGCAATAAAAGGTGAGATACATCTTCAAAGGAAAGGAAGCAGCTACTCTATTAATAATAATAGTAGCGTGGTATGGCTAGTACAGAGGTATATGAGATGCAGATGGGAGCACTATTTATTAAAATATTAGAATTAGAGCATACGTTAAATGTATCTGAAACTTTTGCTCACTGGAAATTTGTAAGTAAGACAAATCTAGTAATAGGCTATCCTAAAATATAAATATCTAACCCCCAAAGATTCTTGACCTTTAGTAAATTAGTTATTAATTCCTTTGGGAAAGACCCTTCATTCTGATGTCCCAAAATAGAGAGGCTTGCCAACAGAGAGGTTATGTGACAAATTGATATTTGAAAATTTGATTTGTGTTTAATATAACAAGTTCATAGAAGAAAAGAACTACCCCTTGGCTATTCTGGCTCTGAGGAAATAATCATCTACATTTGAAATTATAAAATATACTTACAAGGTGTTTCATGGTGTCTCATATCCCATGCAACTGCATGCATAGTAGAATTTTCTAGTACCATTTATTTTCTAAATCTGATTTATATAGTCCCAGACCTTTCAGCTATTGCCATGATAAAGGGCTCTTGAATAGTTAACCATGATCCAGATACCATTCAGGGAAGAAAAAGTCAAGTTTATGTAATCACAGTTATCACTTTCTTTAACTACATCTGAGTATTTCCCCTTTACCGTGATACCTCCACTGGTTCCAAGGCAAACATTGCATATGAACAAGTCTTTGTGGGCTGCCAAAGCCCTCAGTAGCTAAGCGGAGGATTGCAAACAGTAGATCCCACAAAATAGTCCTGATACAAAATCAATGAGCTCACTGTTTCTATTTCTAAATTCCCCCAAAATTTTTTGCTACCTGTGAGAGTGGTTGAGAAAAATCTTATGAAACCAAAAGAGACAGACTGTACTATACAGTTAGATTGATTTTAAAAAAATATTGCCCTGTTCTCTTTTTTAAAAAAAAAATTATTTTAAAGTTGTGAGGTACAAGTCAAGATTGTGTACATAAATGGTTTAGGTTCTCATCCAAACCAAAAATCACATGGTTGGCCCTGCGTTGACCTTTGTCCACTTACCAAACTGACCTCATTTTACTTCTGGTTGACTTTCCTGATATTCTGATATTCTGCTCCCACTATATAATTTGTCTCTCTTCTTCCAGCTTTCATTTCTGGGTGCTTTTTTCCAGAAAGGACCCTTTTGACCATCCCTGGAACACCTGAGACACAGGAAAATATTGCCTATATCTGATGAGTCAGGTACCACTTCAGACCTTTTCACATGTTGTGTTGCTTTTTTTCTCAAGCCCTAACTGGTGCTGACCCAGCTACCTGATCAAATTCTAGAACCAAACAGATCTTTTTTCTGAGAGGAGATAAACTATTCGGGTGAGCCTGAGCCCTAGACTGATCTAAGAAAGGAAGACAGGCAGTTCAGTCCTTAACAGTGCTTGAGAAAAATTGGCCAGAATATCCAATAGTTGGACTTGGATACTGCCAGGTCACCCAGACTCAGATAATATCATACTCATATCTCTATGGCTCTCAGTACTTCCAAAGCACCATGCACAGACAATGAACTCAATAGTTATTGACTGAATCAATAAAATGTATTAAAAGAATGACTTCCAGAGATTAGCAAAATGACAGGTTTTGTCTATAAATAGATGGTGGCTATAAATATATTTATAAAGCACTTTAAAATTTAGAAATCACCTTTACAGTTATAATTTTGTTTGCTCCCTATTACCAACTATATATGTTAGCTCAGGTTGCAGGCAAGGACATGCAGCCCACAGACTAACTCTGCACTAACTAAACTCAACTCCTACATCTGCACTAACTAGCTAAAGTTGAACTCAAGTCTATGAACTTTAAAGACTCCAACTATATGCATTTCCCTCCAAAGTGTATTGCCTTTTTGGACTTGTTAACTTCATGCTGCAGATTAAAAGAGCAAGGATCCTGAGAGGTAAATGTTCTGCTTTCATGTTCTTGTCTACAGTCTTTTGCTTTCCAGGTAACTATGGTAAATGGCTAATCTTGTTGGAGTTTCCCTCCAGGCAAATGGGGACTAGGAGTCACTCAAATCTCAGCCAGCCAAGTGCCACTTCTCTTGCCCTAAGTCCAGGTGCGAGAAGTGGAGGGATCAAAACTAAAGGCAGCGTGCCATAGAGGGAGAACAAGCAGATGATCCCAGTGAATTTCCAGTCATGGAAAGGTCTGAAAAGGAAGACAGGAAGTCAAACAAAAAGGGAGTGTGGAGTTCAGAAAAGAGGTGAAGAGCAGGCCTCAAGGAGCCAGAGAGCCATGATGAGGTAGATGGGCAAACTCTCTTAGCCCCAGGGTTCCCGCTTGTCCAGCACCTGTTGTGAGAGGGGTGTGTATGTCTGAAGGACAGTCATGCAACTCTCCTCCTCCAGTGTCCTCCTGTAGGACCAGTCTCTGGAGTTGCACTCCTTAGTTTTGGGGGGTTGCTGGTGAGTCATGGCATCATGTTGGAATAGCTTTACCATTAAATGCCTCATGTAAGTGAAGCTATAATTAAATGAAGGTACTATTATAATGGTGTTTGAATACTTGTTGAGATACTGAAACATAAGTTTACTAATAAATAATGATTTGGATGTATACTCAAATCTGCATTTAGCTCTGCGGAGATCAATAGCCATGTGCCAAAAAAATATATATTATGTTCAAACCATAGAGACTCATTAAAAAATGAGCTTTGGCCTAAAGAAAGTCTGGAATATACCTCTTTGTTTTGTTTGTTTGTCTTTGTTTTATTGGCCCGACGTACTCTTCTCTATCTTCCCATACATTCCACAAACTCTGCTAGTCCTACCTCTTCACTTTGCAAAATCATTCAAAGACATCTACGATTTGGCCCTCACTAACCTTTGTTCTCTAGACAAACTGGAGGGTTGGGGGAGACACCAAATCCTCAGAATTTATTTATAAAAATTTGTGTATTTATTCTTACATGTTTAAATGTCAGTCACCTTCAATGAACTCTTCATTCGATGCAATACACCTATCCAGCCGCCTTTTCCACTGCTCAAAACAGGTTTTGAACTCATCAGTTTTGATTCCTTTTAGTGTTTCATCTCTTCCAAAATGTTTTCCTTTGAGGATTTTTTATTCTGGGCGGGGAGGGAGTCATTTGGGATGAGATTAGGAGAATGGGGGCGTGGGGCATGGGGGTCATGACTTTTCTGGTCAAAAACTGCTGAACACTCAGCTCCGTGTGGGCAGGTACACTCGTAAATCACCTATCATGAAACAGGCAAACGCACTGAAAGAATCTCCCTCCACCCTAATTCACTGAAGCTGAATACAGCCTCTCACAACAATACTAGCGGGTATACTGTTGCGGCTGAGTCCCTAGAACACTCACCTAGTGGAGGAGGCCTATACAACCAGGGGCCCGCCCTCCAAACAATAATTCAGTTTTTGGACGTTCTTTTTTGTACAGTAAGTTCATTTATTCACTTAATGTACATATTTTTGAGTACTTATTCTGTCAGGTGTTATTCTAAATATTATCTATTACAGTCATAGCAGAAAATAAAGCAAGGTCTTTAATCTTATGAAGTTTACAGTCAAATGACAAAAATTTAATGGCCTCATCAGACGACCATAAAAATAGGTATGCCACAACAAAGAATATAATGTACAAGCAACGTAAGGTACCTCATCTGTAAAATGGGCTAACAATCACTGCTCCTGTTAACCCACACAGCGGTCATAAGGAGTGAGCGAACTCTTGGCTATGAAGGTGATTTGAAAGACAGGGAGGTAAATTTATTAATTCGGGTTTGATGCGCTCATGGGTATGTTATTCAACTCTGAATCTCCTGGAGTACTTAGCAGTGTCTGGTATGTAGTTGGTGTATAGTAAATATTTGTTGAATTTAATGGCAAATAGTGGAATCACATATTTAGTGACAATGTGAATGAGGAAGACAATTAACATCTGAACAGGATAGCATACACAACGGGAAAATGGCCCTCTTTATAAACTCCAATTATAGTTCAATTACAGACTATTAATATTTTTGTTCCTGGATTTGAGGGTAGGAAGTAAAGAAAAAGAAAAATGAAAGCCAGGCATCTGCACAGTTGTTTGCCTTTTATCTTGCATCCTGGAACGTTTGGCAAGAGCAAGACTCCTTTGCCCGGATTCCTTGTCCTGCTTAGTGTTTGCTAAACATGCTTTGATTTTCTTCTTAGTGTACTCACTGCCTGCTGTAAGCCAGAAACTTCCTTATTCTTATTTTGCATTTTCTATTTTCACCATAAAATGCAGTTTTCTCTATCCATTCCTTTAATGTACTGATATTTAGTGAGTCTTTCCACTTTTGCAGAACTCATTGGGCATCACAATTTTGGAGGTTTTTTTTAATTAGCAAAACTGCCCATGCAAAATTATATACGTATAGTCTCATATACTTGTATTTCTTTCTTAATCCCTAGGCAAGTGAAAAATAAATATAAATCAGTAATCCACTCATGTTGCTATGGTCAACACTTTCCTTCTGATATTCTTGTTTTGTGTTGTTTGGCTGTTTTTAATTAGTTCTTTCCACAGAGTCTGATACCCATGAAGAAGTCTGGCCTTCCTCATGCATGTGTCACTTGTTTTATAGTCCTATATTCTTTTTTTTTAAAATTAGAGTCTCACTCTGTTGCCCAGGCTAAAGTGCAATGGCATGATTACGGCTCACCACAGCCTTGACCTCCTGGGCTCAGGCGATCCTTCTGCTTCAGCCTCTTGAGTAGCTGGGACTACAGGCACATGCCACCACATCCAGCTAAGTTTTTTATTTTTGTAGGGACGAGGTCTTGCCATATTACCCAGGCTGGTCTTGAACTCCTGGGCACAACCGATTCTCTCGTCTCAGCCTTCCATAGTGCTGGGATTACTAGTGTGAGCCACTGCACTCAGCTACTTCTATAGTCAATTATGATTGTGATCATTTTTTCTATGACTGTTTTCAACCCACTCCCCACCTCCTCTACCATTCTGATTTTCTCCTCTGAGGCCCCTTTACCTCCTGGATTCCTACATACATCCAGGAACCTGAATTCCTGCCTTCCAGAACACCAACCACCCAGACCCCACTGTACTCCTTTATCCCTTCCCTTTCTGGCTCAATTTCTCTGGATGTTCTCTCTGCACCTCTGAGAAGGCACAATTTTCTAGCATATGTTATCTCACGGCATCTCTCATCTACACTGAGCTAGTTATTTTTATCTCTAAGTGCATCCAACCTTAATTGCTTGATTAACCCCCCATCTTCCTAAAGTTCATTCAAGGTAAATTGGCAGCCAGGGTTCCTAGTGCATCCTACTTGTTAGAAAGCTGATATTGTCTTTCACAAAGCTAAATGCTCTTACCACTAAATTTTTTATTCAAGTAAAAACTTTAAACCACTTCTCTCCAAAAGAGCAAGGA